GAAATAGAAATAGAAGCTAGTAAATACTCTTCTCATTTAAATAAGCTGCATCCTTCATTTTCTGCTCAAGCAGTTTTTGAGAAAGCTGCTTGAAATGGATCTTGTTCTTAAATTACAACTAATCTTTTTAATGACTTATGAGATTATTGAAATCCTCATATACACAGGAACATGGAAATTCATTTGCATGAAGGTTGCAGTATTGTTTCAGGGGTTTTTTTGTATGAAATAGTGTGCTACATACAATTAGTATAAAAGACTATAAAAACATTTAAGCAAAATATTACCAATCTACTTGTTTCTCTTTCAAATAATCTGTAAAGAAGAAAAGATAGCACTGATTAAAAGAATACAGGGAGACACCTTTATAAGGACAAGGGTAGCAGAGTGAGAGCACAAAAAATATTAAAACTACTTATACCACACTGTACTCATTTCTAGTTTTCCTCACAAGAGGCATGATGACTCAAGTTCTCCCCTTCACAAAAGCTGCTCTGTAATGAAGGGGAGATGTGGGAAAGGAGGCACAAGCAAATTGCACAGCTGAATGATAGAAGCAGGGTGCTGTCTCCTCCTCTAGCTACATAACATATTTACATAAGGTGCCCACCTGACTTTCTCCTTGCCCACTAGAGAAGATTGTGCCTAGTAAGTAAAGGATCAAATAAACTGCAAGAAGATGAACAAGATGAACTTTTAAAAAATATAAATCAGCACTGGGTTTGATTTTTTTTGTTTCCTTTAAAGTTTACACACCCTCAGCACATCCTGAAGGTCCCCTGAAGTAAATAACTGCTGAATATTTGAGTAATACTGAATAACACAGTTCAGTAAATCAGCCTTTGTATTACAAAAGTAGTAGTCTACAGTTAAAGGAAAATGGAAATGAAAATGGATCTACTTGATTCAGTAAAGACTGATAAACTGCTGTTAAATATTGAGAACATACACAGCAAAAAAATATGAAAAATACATATGAAAAAGGAAAATAAGACCAAAGTTAACATAAAGCTATGATTTTGGTGATTTTTTTTCCAAGTTGAATATTGAACCTTTCATCAATATATCATCAACACAGTACATTCATTGAGCCAATTCATGGCATTTATGTCATTTTATTCTGACATTACTGGCTTTAGCAAGCTTGACTGACAGAAGTATAACAAAGCTTCTTGCAGCAAATATTTACAAATATTGTAACAAAACAGCACATTCAAGCAGCTGAATCATCCTTCTACATTTCCTTATTAACATTAATAGCAGAGGGAACTTTTATTTAACAGACTCTCCTACCAAAGTAATACTTAGAATTACAGATAATGCTTAAAATCCAAATAAGTCTGAACTGTAAAAACATGTCTACATTCTATTAGAATTAGGAATTCAGTGACAGTGGCGTAACGGGATCTACATTTAAACCAGAAAAAAAAAAATTAAAAAAAACACACACACCCCCCAAACACCACACTTTCTTAGTATAATTACTTTTGCACTTCTCAAAGTTTGGAAGCTTCCCTTTTTCCATTCAAGGTGAAGTACTGATTCCAGTTCCTATTCATCAAGGAAATAAAATAATTGCTTTTTTCTTACCTCTTGCAAACTGATTCCTTCTATGAACTACTTTTTTGTCTTAAGTCATTTTGCTCATGACAACCACAGTAACAATATTTAAGCTTTTTTAATTTATATTCAAAGTGCATTGTTTTATCCAAGGAAGGATCACTTAAAATTAAATGAAAATTACTATGTATTTTTCCAAGAACACAAGAATGTCTGATTTTTTTTTAATGATTTAATAATCACTAGGCCAACTTCAGAACTTCTTATCTAGACTTTATTTGTGAAAAAATTTTAATGGCAGAATGAATCCTGTTTGCAAGTTTGTAAATATCCAATAGCTATCAAAAAAAAAAGTGGACAAAATGGAGAAATTGCATATTGTGAAAGTGTTTTCCTAATTTAAGTCAGATCACACTCTTATTTCCAAAGCTTTCCGTAACCTTAAGTTAAAAACAGTGTTCTGAAATATTAACCCAAGTAATCTCTGAAATACTCCTTTCAGTAACTGTTTTGCTGACCACATGTCCCAGTAGGAAGGGGATTATCATTAATGGGCAACACACGAGCCAGACCCCTCCCTCCAGTCTGAAATCCTCTGTGAGGGGTTTGAGGTGTCCAACTGCCGGAGGAACGAAAAGGTTTATAAATTCACTCACAGGACAAGACACAGTGGAGATGGGAGTGAATCAACCGAGGAGGCAGGCGATCAGTCCAGTTCCAGCTGTGTGGCCACAACCACATAATGATGCCATTATTAGAGATATTCCACCCTCTGCTCACAGCCATATTGATGTCTCACAGCCGCTGGGGGCTCTGCCTACAATGGGCAGCTGAGGGGCCCTTCCAGTAACTGCAAAGCCTACACAGTAAGTTCACTATATAGATAAGCTCCTCCCAACACCACTGCAGGCAGAGCCAGTTTTTATGCTCTTAACTTAGAGGTGGGACACCTGATGTTAGGGGCAGCTGGTGGTGATCTCATAATTGGTTCCCACCCAAGGTTGGCCAGACCCTGGGTGAAAACCAGTCAGGAAGGTTTCTTCGCCCTGGCTGTGGACATCATCCCTATGTCAACCTGATTCAGGGCTGGGGGTTCTAACCTCAGCACTTCACTAACTCAATAAAAGCTGATGAAAAGTGGTATTTATAAGCCAAGAGATGGGCAACCTCAGATGAACGAATGACTGTTAGGAAATCAAGGATAGACATCAAGGATAGACAGTCTCCCTTCCAACCTCCCAGCTTTGTACTAAAAAAAAAAAAAAAAGAAAGAAAAGAAAAAGAGAAACCTAAGAATTTCTGGGCTTTCCAGATGTATAAATGGAACTTTCTGTATTTCACTTTGCGTCCATGCCTGTTCTCTTTTTGCTGAACAGCACTAAGGAAGAGTATAGCTCCATCTTCTTCACTCTGCCTCATCTGGCATTTACACACATTGCTAAGATACCCCTGAACCTTCTTTTCTCCTGGCCTCTTGCTCAACTCTCTCCAGAATGACCATGTCTCTCCTGCCCTGAATCCAGCACTCCAGATTTGACCTAACCAGTGCTGAGCACTTCTCCTTATGTGCTGGCCATTCTTTGTCTACTGTAGCCCAGGGGGCTGTTGGCCACCTTTACTATAAGGCCAGTTCATGTTCAGTTTGTTGTCCACCAGGACCCGTAGGGACTTTTCTCCAGAATTGCTCTCCAGATGGTCAGTCCCCAGGAGTTCCCATTTCCCCTTGCTGAGTTTCATTAGACTCCTGTTCACCCAATTCTCCAGTGTGTCAAGGTCCTTCTGAATGGCAGCACAACCACCTAGTTCAACAACTGCTCTTCACAATTGTACATCATCTGCAGACTTGTTGAGTGTGTGCTCTGCCCTATCATTCAGAGCATTAGTGAAGATTTTAACCATCATTGACCCCCACAGTAGACCACTAGTGACTGGGCTCCAGCTGGATACTGTTTGAGCCTGGCAGTTCAGCCAGTTTTCCATCCACCTCACTGTCCACTTTTCTATCTGCACTTCATCAGTTTGCTGATAAGAATATCATAACAGATACCATCAACAGCCTTGCCAAAATCCAGATAAACCCTATCCACAGCTCTCCTCTCATCCACTAGCCCTTTCATCGTAGCTAGCCAATTCATTGTAGAAAGCTACCAGATTGGTCAAGCATAATTTCCCCTTTGTAAATTCATGCTATTTCCAGCCACCTTCTCGTCTTCAATATGTTTGGAAATCCTAAGCCTGAGAGCTAAAGGAATGTGGAATCTCTAAGAATCCTACTCAAAACAAGATTTTCAAAAATGCTGGGCCTCAGGCTATGGAGATGAGGACCCATTCCCTGTCAAAACCAGAACTTCCAAGGCTTCCCAGACCTATCTTTTTGATATGTTCCTGAAAAATTCAGTCAGTTTTAGCAATGCATATCATATGCAAAGTTTTCCTACTGTCATAACCAGAAATTTCAAACTTGTTGCATTCCTGGAGGCCCAGAGAAGCAGCATGCAGAATACTACAGTGATGTCTGAGCTCTGTTTAAGCTTTCTAGCTTTTTGGCAGTGACAGACTTGACCTTAGCATGGTATAACTTACCCAAACCAGAAGCTAAGCCAATACTAGATCTTGTAACAACACATGAGCCACCAAAGTGAACAACTAGCCTGTCACTCATCGTGCCCTAATAGGATATGGGTTTTGCTCTGTTCTCAAGCAGGAACCACACTTTTCTCTGGAAAAATATTTTTAATCCAAAGAGGTGTCCTTTTCTCTTCATCAGTTTCTGGGCTCTTATCCCTCAGTTCTCAACAAGGAGCCAAGCAAGAGTCCCCTGAATGAATGCCTATCAGTTGACAATAACTATCAGTACGCTCATTACACAGTACTTAAGAATTTTTTCGACACTGTTTTTAGATTGAGTCGATCTAGATAAAGACTAAATCTAGTCTTAATGTTAAACTGCTACAAAATCATTGTTACTAGTAGAGGAAAAGGTTAAAAAAACAGTTCAATAAAGTATTTATAAATTAATGGAACACCTCAATATTGTATAATTGCTATATCACAAGTTGCTATATATAAGAATGAAGAGCCCTAAAGAGTTAATATTAATTTGCATTGCATGTATTAATATTAATACTTAGATTAGAAATATGGGCCATATCCAGAATTGAACTGCAAATGAAAGACCAAAAATTGTTTACTCCTTAAAAAGCCATTCAAAATTTATCTGTCTGACTCTAATATACACAGCTTTTTATCAGGCTCTCTATTTTAACAGAAGTAAATAATGGTAAATAATGTATTAAGTATTCCACTGAACAAGCTAAACAACTTGCCTAAGCAGATTTTATTCAGCATAAAACTTTTCTTAAAGGCATTTAAAACTGTAGTACACAAGATTCTTAGGCTCAGGAATATCCAAACTGACACCCACAAGGACGAACACATACCCTTAATAATCGATTCAGCCGCATAGAGATCCCGCTTGTAGGTCACCTAAAGGACAGACAAGCCTCATTAGATTTAACACAACAGGAAAGAATGTAAAATCAATAAAACAATGCCCTGAAGGTAATTCTTTACATTGGAAATACCATAAACAAATGTTATTGCCAGTTTCTTAATTCTGGTAAAAATATCACTGGCAAGTCACAGGAACTGAAGTTGCAGAAATTACTGGTGACTGGAGAGAGAACCTTTTTTAAAATACTTACATCTGCTTAGAACTCATTTGAAACCTACATTATTTTGAACACTTTGAAGCACCATAAAAACATTATATTGCATCCAGTTTCACACATCCATTCTACTTCAATTTTATTGTGAAATAGATTCATTCTTTATAGGATTTGAGATTATACAAGTTGCGGTCTGAGAGAAGCCTCATTATTTCTTGTACTAATACAGGTGTAATTTTTCAGTAGTGCAAGACTATTACTGTTAATGAGAGTCCAATTAATCAGTGGGAGTCAGTGAGACTATAGTAGGCTTTGTATGAGCTTTCACAAGATTAAGAAACATCAAGATCTTAAAGACGTCACTCAGATCAAGTCAGATGGGCAATAAGGTGCAGAATATTTACTTGATACTTGCAAAGACACCTTTCATGTCTGCCTTTGTACCCTTGTGGTGGCTCATAGTCTTTTGCATAGTCCTAACCTCTGCAAGTTAAATAACAGAAAACTAAAGACAGACTTAAGGTGCTGTCTCATGAGTGCTGACTGCAGGGGCACAATCATCAGAAACCACCCCTGTAGTCCCCCTGCTACCAAAACCTCATCACGCAAACCCAGTGCAGACTCATTCACCTGGGCCACTGTACTTTCAGCTTTTCTATTTGAAGCTCCTTCTTGATATTCTCCAGTTTGCCAACAGCTAAAAAAATTTTCTGTTCAATAACTGTGCACCTACAAGGAATTCACTCTTCAAGTGTTATCATTTTCCATGTGTTTCCAGGCCTGTTTGAAGTCCTGTGTTACTGCAATGGGTCCCACATCCTAGAAGGTTAACAGCAGCAGGATTTCATTTCATCAACCATGTTGCAGTAGCACTAACACTTCAACAATTCTCTTTTAAAACAGAGATGTGCACAGTCTCAAGTCTGAAGTGTAACTAGGGCCTAGTAACTAGAACTGCTCCTCAGGCACTGATACCGGAAACAATACTTTCTAATATTTTTATTAATAACCTGGGAAAGGGGAAATACTCTCAGCAAACCAACAGATTACAACAGACGAAGAAGCATTCAATATGCTCAAGCGTACAACACTCATTTAGAGGGATCCTGAAAGGCTGGAGAAAGCAGCTAACAGAAACCTTGTAAAACAAACAGAAATACAGCCTCCAGCACCTGGGACAGAATAATCCTGTGCAGCAGTCCATACAGATGCTAAAATACAGGCAACAACTTTGCAGAAAAGGACTTTCTGGAGAAGCTGAGCTTGAGTCAGCACTATGTAGCAGTGTAGAAAACCAGTCCGACTGACTAGGCTGTATCACTAAGGACATAGCCTTCATCACAGAGAATACAGGAATAATTCCCCTGTACTTGGCCCTCTTAAGAATACCCCAGAATACTGTTCCGAGTTTTGGACTCTGCAGTATAGCACAATGAGGAACAGGAGGAAGCCCAGAAGAAGGCTAAAATAGTGTGAGAGAACTTGGCTTGTTCAGCCTGAAGGGCATAAGCTGAAGGGTGGGGAAGTGTCATAATTAATGGCCATAGAGAAGAGTAAACTGGAATTGTTTTGCAGATCTATTTTGCTGGCTTTTCATCCTCTCCCAGTGCAAGAGGCAGCTAGTGAAATGCTGACCAAGTATTTTGAAAAAGTATCCTCCATACAGGGGAATATGAGTTGGAATTGTTTTCCCTAAAGAATCTGTGAAATGTCCATTCTTGGAGTTATTATAAACTCAACTGGACAAGGCCCAGCACAGCCTAATCTAACTAACCCAGTCCCGCTTTCAGCAAGGTGTTGGATGAGCCGACCTCCAAGTATCTGCTTCACCCTTATTTATTCTGTCATTGAAGGTCAAAAGACTACACTTCATCTGCTAGGCATCAGTAGTATCTACAGATAGTAAAGAACTAAATGAACACTTTGATTGTATTTTGTTACCCTTCATGTAAGTACCATGCTATGCAATGAGAACAATTAAACTATCCAAAAATTAATATAATGCAAATATACGTGACATAATCTGTGCCTTAGAAGACTGAATAGGAAAACAAATAAATACACTGTTTCAGAAAGAATAAGTCCCTAGAGAGATACTGAAACAAGTTACTGTATGCAACCAACCCATAAGCAAATTGTGCTGATAAATTGCATGGGAAATCTGCACTGCAGATTCAAGAAATCACCTTTCTGTGTAAGATTTACTGTCATATTATTAGAAATCATCTCCCATTGGAAAAAAAAAAATATTGTCAAAGACAGATGGAGTGATTTGAGCTGCTTCCAGATCCTTCAATGTGGTAATGAATAAAATTTAATAAAGGAAACACTTAAAAATTGCATGACACAACACCTACTGAGAAAGAATGATGTCTCACCATTGAAAACAATGAAATGGGATACTTTTAGGCAGCGGGGATGTATCCTTTGACACCTGTATACACACCTGCTTTGTCAGTTGTCAGGAATCTGCAGATTGTCAGACAAGGTGAATGACATTTAAAAAATTTTAAAAGATTGTTTGAAGAGATCTTAAACTTTACAGTGTTACTGTATGTAATAAACTGCTCTAAAAGTCAAACTGTTGTAAGCCAGGTATTTTGCATTAGAGAAAAAGTGATGTCCTCACAGGAAAAGCAGAGGAAAATGAAAAAAAAATATACAGAAACAGCAGGAAAAAAAGCTCATCTCATAAAAGAATGTTCTTAGTTCTAAAGATTATGGATTTATAGTTTAACAGATTCTCAGGATATTTAAGTACGTATCTGGTTTTCCTAATTCCAGATAAACACTGTCTTCATTGATTACGTCAGGTAACATCTGCCTAAGTCTGTTTACAACAAGTTCTAAAAAAACCTCATGATAATCCAAAAAACAAATCTAAAATTTGGAAGATAAAAGTTTATTACAATTGAAAACACATCTGAATTTCTATGGTAATATGCAGATTTTAGTAATTTTAAAATACATATATGAAAAATAGTTACCTTCCAGAGGTCAGCAGTTCCTTCAACAAGTTTGGCATTTGTTTTACAGTATTTCAGAGCCAGATGCAAACATTCAGTTCCATAATCCAGATCATAGTCTGTACACTGTAGTAATTTAAAAAGAATATTTTTTTCTTAATTAGTCTTAAAGAAATCATAGTTTTGAGCAGTAACAGATTTTATTTCATTAATTAAACCTTACATCTCAACAGTCCTGTCCATAATAATACATTCTGAATTAAGTGTGTGGGTTCAGGATGGATCAGAAATAAAACCCTTCTAAGAAGCTTATGCTAAATTCTAGCTAGCCAGCAAACTGTTACAAGAAATAAACACTTTATAAGCACAAATTAATTCAATTAGGCTGCAAGTATCTTGCTACACCTTTATGTTAACAAAAACAATGAGAAGTTACATGTATTAAAAATAATTCATGGAGTTGAGGCCTCATGGAAAGAAACAATCAACCTTCTAGTGACAAACTTCCAAAGTATAGAAACAAGTTTACAAATTGTTGAAACACGACTCTTCAAATGGCTTGTCTCTGTTTTGGTTTTTTTTGCAGCATTAGATGGTAGTCACTAAGAATCTCTGTATCCCTTACATGTTTCTTTCTATATTTTTATCAAGTTATCTGCACACAAAATAGAAAAGTTTCATGCTGCTCCATGTGCCTTTCAGATTTAAAATAAATAAATAATCAACAAATCCAAGAAAAAGTTTGTCCACAATGTCTGCCAGCTAGAAGAGGTATTCTTCTCTCGACACACCCTTCCCAGGCAGTTTGGCTCCCTATAGTTAGTTTTCTGTTAATAAGATCCTTACAATTACTGAGTAGGGAGCAGCATCTCTAGAGCAAGAACACAGGCAGCTACAAGAGCAGGAGCTAGGAACTTATCAGAAAGGACTACCTCAGGATGAACTGGCCTGATTAAGATAAGAAAGTTCTAGCACACATATATATTGCTAAATTAACAGTACATCCAGAAACATTATGTGTAACAAGAAAGGATAATTTAAGATAGGGTCTTTCATAAAAATGAACCTATTTGATAAAACCACAGGCTGCCTAGCCCAGTATCCTGTCTCTAGAAGAGGTTGAGAGTGGATTATCAAGGATAAGTAAATAAGAACAAAGCAATCCTATCTTCTCACGTTCCCAGAATAATCCCTTGGCCTCATATAAAGTTATTATCCTGGCTTAGAAACTTCATAAACTAAGAAGCCCCCGAGGGACACATTGAGCCAGAAGCCACTGCCTTTACAGTCCTCAGGGATTAACAGGAATACGGAATTCGCCCAATTACCTTTTGAAGAGCAATATGTTTTTTAGCACCTGCATCAGGAAGCTAATCATTCATCACTCTTCTCATCACATGCTCTGCTGTTCTGACAGAAAAGTGAGTGCAAAACCACCTTCTTGGCCCTTCAGAATGCTCCACCATATCTCTCCTCACATTTTTTCACAGGCAAAGAGTTCAACATTTGTTCAGTCATTCCATTTGTGGAAGCTATTTCATAACCTTGATCAACCCTTTTGCTGTCCTTTACATTAACCTACACTTACCTATCAATTTTAGCATCACATCCTTTTACAGACCTTCTTAGCCCTCACCTCCACTACTCAGAAGAAAAAAAAAAACGGGTATCTCCACTTCCCATTCCAAATTATTTATGAACAAAATGAACTGCCCAACTCCCAACACAGATCTTCACAAAACTCCACTGGTGACTTATTGCTATGAAAACGGGTCATGCACTTTACCTTGTTTCTTATCTTCTAACAAATAGTCTACTCTAGTAAATCCTTACTCTTAATCCAAATCTGTCCAGTTTTCCTAAAAAGCTTTTTGTAAAAAATTGAGTGAAACATCTCATTATGCAAGTAGGCTGTTACCACCTTCAGCAACCTCAAACAAGATGTCCGTTAACTCCTTCAAGAACAACAATTTGCTCTGCAATGCATAAGCTTTCCTTTACAAAAAAAAAAATGAAATAACACTTCCACTCTGTCAAATTTAGCCATGTGCCTACAAATTCATATTTCAAATAAAATGTGACAGTCCAGACACTATGCGCAGTCTCCTCCAGGATTCAAGGACTCAAAATTGTCAAAAATGTAAAAATGTAAGTGGTATAAAGGAGATCCAAATGACAGTGCTGCAATACAACTTGTGTGCCACGCTGGGGGTGCAGAAATGCTGCACCTGTGGGGAGGAGCAGACAGGAGAGGTGACCCTAAACTGACCAACGCGGTATTCCATCTCATATACATCCTATTCAGTATGAAGCTGAAGGATCACAAGGATCAAGTTCTCATCTTCAAATCCAAGGAAAACTCTGACCATTCCTTCGATCCCAAGCCATGTGTTCCTGAATCCTGTTCCTGTGTGCTGCTGAGTCGAGTCTGGGACTTCCCCAGTGCCTGCCCACAGCATCAGTGGTGACTGATACAATTGCCATGTCTGTGTGATGGGTTGGATACTGGCTTTGTATATATTTGTATATATTCCATTTTATTATTATTGTTTTGATTCAAGCTATTTCAGTTTTCTTTCTGAATTCCTAAGTCTCCCTCTCCTTTATTCCCTCTCTCTTCCCCCTTGGGAAGGGAGGGGGCTTAACAAAGTCTGTTATAGGTCTAGCAGGCAGCCCTGACCTTGACACCGATGAAAGCAGAAACAGCCTAGTAACTTTCAGTTCCAAATGTTTATTACCAATGTGTTTCCTTTTCTGATAGAACACAAACTATTTTCTACTCACATGAATAACATATAGATTAAAAAAAAAAGTTTTTATTTTGCCTCAGAATGGAAGAGAAAATTCCAGAAAAAAAAAATCTGTGAAGGAATTTATTTTTAATTAAAATTAAGTTACTTTTTAAAAATATATGGGTAACAAATGATACTAGGACAAGACTAAACGATTCCAACTTTTTAGCAAGGTATTAATTACAGATAATTAGTAGGGAGTGGAGAAGTTCCATAAATAGGCTTAAGAATCTTGAGGGTACTGCTGGCTTCAAGGGATGAAATATGACACAAAGCAAAGTAATAATTAAAACCATATTTCACTAACACTTGTACATCATGACATTTAACACTCTGATTATCTGTAATTGTTTAAACCTAAACATATTGTCACAGAGTAGTCTTCTGCAAGTCGGATACACTGATATCAGAGGAGAACAACGAAGTAGAAGTATCAGTTCAAGACCAGTTTAGTTTATATATCATTCATATGCTAAACAGCTCCATTAAGTAACATTTTTAATTCACATTTAAGGTGCAGAATGTGACTGCATATACTACTCTAAGAAATTATTTATCAAAGTAAGCATGATCAAGGAGTGCCTATAATAAAATTTGTAGAATATACAATACAATATTTGTAGATATAAATTCTTACAGACACAGGCATACAAACATTCTCATCCTATGCCTTCTGTATGGATTTCATTTTACATCTAGAGTCAATTTACATTACAACAATCTCTTTAAAACTCTTACTGTTTCTAAAATCTTTTTTATGTTTTTTAACATGAAGTTTGAAAGAGTGCTGTTCACTGAACTTGACATGCACGCATAGCTTTGTAAAACAATAAGTTTCAGACCACAGATTTGAAATGGTGAAAATAGCTGGAAATACTGGCGCAAAACATATCTATAAAAGAAAGAAAACAGACTAATTTAGGAAATATGTTATTTAAAAATGTTTTTGAACTGTTGAATATTCAAAGGCATTCTAATAGGTAGTTTTGAGCACTGACCTTTTTGTTAGTGGTTTATTGATCGCTTTCCAACGCGCGGATGTTTGAATAAAGTGCTATGAGTGGAGCAAGATCTAGATTTTAGTATTACATTAATTCTTCTTCCCTTGCCCCCCATATTAGTTTGGAAATATTTTGATAAATAATGTTACTTACTAAACTGCAAGCTATGCTGTTGTTTAGCTGTAAACATGGAACAAGGGATTAGAGAAACGAGCAGCTACACAGCCTCTAACTCCCTGGTACTTATAATAGTCCATGACCTAACTTGTTTCCAACACAACACTTTGAACATAAGGAAGCAGTATTTAACATTAGCAACTGTTTTACTGTTAACACTATTTTACTGGATCTTTATACCAATAAAACATTTCTAATGGATATACAGGAACTGGTAACCACATAGAACAACAGAGGTGAAAGAAAAAATTTAATTCCACCACTGTCATTTTCTGATATTTTCATCATTCCTTAGTTCCATAACACGGAAACAAAATCAGTATTCTTTATTTTTTATTACTTAATCTGTATTCTTTATTTGCAGAAAGAAATTTTTCAGATCTGTTCTTTACACAGGTACTTTAAAGCCTGTATAGACCCAGTCTTTCACAGTTCTGTAACCACTGGCTGTGTCATCTTTTAGTACTTTTTCCATTGTCAGCAGTGTTTCCATTCTACTTTTCCATGTAAACCCATTCTATAACAGTATCAGTACACATGCAATTAAAATGCATAGCAAATACTGATACAAACAGTATCAGTACACATGCAATTAAAATGCATAGCAAATTAACAATACCAAGGCTTTGATTTTTTCCAGATGACTGCAAATCAAGTTTCCACTGCTGAAGTGCCAGAGTACATTATGAACATTCATCATCTGGAGCAATTAACTAAGTTAAAATAAACGCAGACACAAGCT